CCAGGCCCCCCCCCCGTGCAATCCTGGGGTCCCCCCCGGTACCTAGCACGGGCCCCCTGCCGGCCTCGTCGATGCCCAGGCAGCAGGGCCCGGCCTTGCACAGCTGGGGCACGGCGGACCCCAGACGGCAGCTGCCCGCATTGTCCCGCTCGAACTCCCCCAGCTCCATGTTCCGCGCGCCCGGCCCAGAGGGCGGGGCCGGCCTCGCACAGACCCCTGGGAGTTGTAGTTCTAAAACAGGGGACAGCACCATGCTTGAGCTGGGGATGGGGGGCCAGGACTCCTGGGTTCTATCCGAATTCTAGAAGGGGAGTGAGGTCTAGCGGTTAGAGCAGGAGCTGGGGGCCAGAACTCTATTCCTGCCTGAGGGTAGGGGGGGTGTCGGGGCTCCTGGATACTTTACACCAGATTAATTGAATTAATCACCCGTTGCTATTTTTAAGAGCAACCACTGATAGTTGGGGGGGCGGGGGCTTGAGCCCCACAGATTCTTATTAGGAGCTTCCAGAACAGTCCCTGAGATTGGCTCAGATTCCCTCGGAGGGGGAAGGCCTCATGTCACTCCCATTCCCACAGGGCTCACCAGTGCTTGTGTAGGGCACGGGGTGGCCTTTAGGAATGAGGGCTGCCGCAGTTAGGGGGCATCTGGGGAGGGCCATGTGGGAGTTATGTGGGCTCCGGGGCATGTGCATGGGTAAACTCTTGTGCAGCTCACAGGGCCATTCATAAAACCACAGCCTCACCCCCGGAACCACCCTAAAATTATGTCCTAATCCCCCCCTCCACCCACCCTTCCGAAGCCTAAGAGGCTCGGAATCATTGCACCAGTGGGGAAACTGAGGCACGGAGGCTGGGGGTGAAACTCTCCGCCGCTCAGGCCAAGGGAATCAATATAAACGGACTCAGCAGAGCCACCAGGGATGAATAGACCCAGTCAGCCCAGAGCTTGGTGCTAGCCCCATAGCGGAGCCTCCCCGTCATGGGCTGTGGGATTCCAGAGCAGCATTAAGTAGCAGAGGGGTCGCCATGTTAGTCTGGATCTGCAAAAGCGGCGAGGAGTCCTGTGGCACCTTATAGACTAACAGATGGATTGGAGCGCAAGCTTTCGTCAGATGCATGCATCTGATGAAGTGGGTCTTTGCCCACGAAAGCTTGCGCTCCAATCCATCTGTTAGTCTATAAGGTGCCACAGGACTCCTCGCCGCTTTTGCAGATCCAGACTAACATGGCGACCCCTCTGCTACTTAATGCTGCTCTGGAATCCCACAGCCCATGACGGGGAGGCTCCGCTATGGGGCTAGCACCAAGCTCTGGGCTGACTGGGTCTATTCATCCCTGGTGGCTCTGCTGAGTCCGTTTATATTGATTCCCTTGGCCTGAGCGGCGGAGAGTTTCACCCCCAGCCTCCGTGCCTCAGTTTCCCCACTGGTGCAATGATTCCGAGCCTCTTAGGCTTCGGAAGGGTGGGTGGAGGGGGGGATTAGGACATAATTTTAGGGTGGTTCCGGGGGTGAGGCTGTGGTTTTATGAATGGCCCTGTGAGCTGCACAAGAGTTTACCCATGCACATGCCCCGGAGCCCACATAACTCCCACATGGCCCTCCCCAGATGCCCCCTAACTGCGGCAGCCCTCATTCCTAAAGGCCACCCCGTGCCCTACACAAGCACTGGTGAGCCCTGTGGGAATGGGAGTGACATGAGGCCTTCCCCCTCCGAGGGAATCTGAGCCAATCTCAGGGACTGTTCTGGAAGCTCCTAATAAGAATCTGTGGGGCTCAAGCCCCCGCCCCCCCAACTATCAGTGGTTGCTCTTAAAAATAGCAACGGGTGATTAATTCAATTAATCTGGTGTAAAGTATCCAGGAGCCCCGACACCCCCCCTACCCTCAGGCAGGAATAGAGTTCTGGCCCCCAGCTCCTGCTCTAACCGCTAGACCTCACTCCCCTTCTAGAATTCGGATAGAACCCAGGAGTCCTGGCCCCCCATCCCCAGCTCAAGCATGGTGCTGTCCCCTGTTTTAGAACTACAACTCCCAGGGGTCTGTGCGAGGCCGGCCCCGCCCTCTGGGCCGGGCGCGCGGAACATGGAGCTGGGGGAGTTCGAGCGGGACAATGCGGGCAGCTGCCGTCTGGGGTCCGCCGTGCCCCAGCTGTGCAAGGCCGGGCCCTGCTGCCTGGGCATCGACGAGGCCGGCAGGGGGCCCGTGCTAGGTACCGGGGGGGACCCCAGGATTGCACGGGGGAGGGGCCTGGGAAACACCAGTGGGGGCTGGGCAGGGGAGACCCCCCCCCAGGGGTGCACGGGGGAGGGGCTTGGGAGACCCCCCCCGATATTGCATGTGGGGAAGCCCTCTGCATTGTATAGAGCAGAGTCCCTCTTCCGCGTCGCCTAGAGATGGGGGGCAGGGGCCCATCCTGAGTGATCGGGAAGGGCCCCTTCCTACCTGCTGCGGTGGGGGGAGCCCCCTGTAAAGTGAGGGAGGGACCATGGGATTTCGCCCCGTCCCTACTCCCTGGTGGGGAGGTGGGTCCAGCTGGGGAGCCCATAGCTGGCAGGGAATTAATAGCACCCAGGGAGATAGAAGGGCCCTGCCCCATTACCTCCCTCCCCATAGCCTGGGCAGGGCTGGTCTCCTCCTCCCCCCATGACCCTGTCTCCCCCCCAGGTCCCATGGTCTATGGTGTCTGTTACTGCCCCTTGGCCAAGCAGGAGGAGCTGGGAGCTCTGAAGATGGCAGGTAAGGACAAAAGCATCACAGGGGATGGGAGGCAGAGTTGGGGGGCACCCTGGCTTCCTGTGAATGCCCCCTGTGGGGAGAGATCTTAGGTGGGGGATTCCAGCCCTGACCACAGAGGCAGAGAGAGGGGGAGGGGTCTGGAGATCTGAGGCTTGGGGTATGGATCTCGGG